CTCCCTCCCTCCCTCCTCCCGTCTTTCCAGACCGCGAGGTTGAACGCTTCTCCTCTGCTGCTCACTGGCAGGTGCGACGTCTTTGCGTCTCCTCCTCTCTCGCTTCTCTTGCTCAGCTCCTCGTTGCCGACAGACCTAATAGACTTGTGTGCGTGAGAACTATGAGAAGATAGGAGGAGAACGAGGAGGAGGAGAACGAGGAGGAGGAGAACGAGGAGGAGGAGAACCAGGAGGAGGAGAACCAGGAGGAGGAGAACCAGGAGGAGGAGAACCAGGAGGAGGAGAACCAGGAGGAGGAGAACCAGGAGGAGGAGAACCAGGAGGAGGAGAACCAGGAGGAGGGAGGGAGGGGTTTTACAGTGATTGAAGAGAAGGAGGAGGAGGAAGAGGCAGGTCGTCTCCTCTCCATCATCATCAAGTGAATGTCCTCCTTGAACTGTTTCTGCATGCGCGTCAGAGACGGGAAGAAGGACGAAGGGGAAGGGAACGACGATATTGATGGTGCTGTGATCGTGGTGGTGATGGTAGTGGTAATGATGATGATGTTTCACTGACCTGACTTGCACCTATGAAGTTTGACCTTGCATGTTGATTGTTTGCTAGACAACCATCAGTCCAAGACGCCTCCAGCAACCCTCGAGGAACCATCTTCCAGCTTGGATCGTCCGCTGACTGCAGGTCGAGTTGCATCTGGTGTGACGTTATGAGGCAGCGAGGAGAGGAGAGGAGGGGAGGGGAGAGGAGAGGAGGGGAGAGGAGGGGAGAGGAGAGGAGGAGAGGAGAGAGGAGGTTGCAGCTGAGGACATTCACATCGCAAGCAACTCACTTCTAGCCTTGGCCTTGTGCTGATCGTGTGTGAAGAGGTTTCTTTCAAGGTGAGATATCTTGAAACTGAGATCCTTTACAAGCGATGGATGAGAGACATATATAAGGAGAAGTCGAGAATCTCACAGAGTCTGAGCTGCTCGAATCATAGTCGTCTCGTCTTCTTCCCATGTGGCCGGCTCGAATCCAATTAGACATGTCTGCCAGAAAGTCTTCATCATCGTTGTCATCCATGAATGTCAAATTTATCTTTTTGAGAAACCATCGTAATCAACTTGATCTTCATGCATGTACGATAGGTCTTCTCTCCCTGACTACCAACCAAGGTCGAACTACACGTTTCTCTTCCCTTCAACTCAGCTTCTCCACCATCTCCCCTCCCGTCCCCTCCCGTCCCCTCCCGTCCCCTCCCGTCCCCTCCCGCCGTCTTCGTCATTTCTGGTCCGTTGAAAAATGTTTCCCTCCAAAAACCCAACCAACACCCAACCAACCAGCTAGTGACGTACTAGCTGGTTGGTTGGGTGTTCAACTTCCGACTCGGCGGCGCCCGGTGAGGCTCCGGCAGAGTGACTCCGACTCAGCTGCCCGGCCAGACCGCGGCGGCGTTTGCCAAGTTGCGGCCTGCCACCGGGGGTCGGGTGCCGTGGCGCAGTGCGGCAGCTCAGTCCAGATCCGGGGCCCGAGTACGGCGGCCCCCGCGGTCCTGGCACCGTGCCAGGGCACTGCGGCTGTACTTGAATGACAAGTTTCGGGGTGGGACTCGAGGTCCGAGTGGCCAACTTGGCAACCGTGAACAACTCAAGTAGTACAGAGGGAAGCATTGAAGTTGGAACCCTTTGGCATCTATTCACGAGCAATACCCGATCGCAAAAGGATAAGGGGGATCCTGGCACTGAGTGGCTAAGAGACTGAGAGACTCATAGGCTCGTTGTTGGCATGATATGCCGGGCAGGCTGCATTCCAGGGATGGCGAATGGCTGAACACCATGACATCAGCTCAGTCTACCCAGACTCTCGATCCTTATGTCTTACCGGCATGTGCCCCATCATCGGCTGTGGAGGCTGTGGCAGAGGGACACAATGCCCGAGCATGGGATGAGGAGGAACTGAAACTACTCTTTGAGCATCGGAGAAACCAAGATCCTCGGCGTTTACCTGACGGGGAGAGAGGGAACTCTGGAGGAAATTGATTGGCCTGTCCCTTGCTCGTGGTCTTCGGAGAGACATGGAGGTATTTGCCGTTCACCTACGCCAAGCTCTCAGCCACTCCAAATCATTCGAGCTTGATTTACTTGTTTTCCGTTCAAAGATGACATCGCTAATACAGCATCCTGTGTAGAGCAGGTCAAGTGCTTTCAGCAAATGTGTTATAGTACTTACATGCGCATGTACAAACTTTACAAATCCAAAACCACGGCTATTTCCATTCTCATCTCGCATAACACGTACGCTAGTTATAGCACCTGAAATTCAAGAATCAGAATTGAGGGCACGATAATTGAATCGGATTGAAGTACCAAAAGGTGCGAAGTTCCGATACAAGAAGAGATCATCCGCGTCCGAAGGCAGCTCTGTTTCACTCACATCAGATGTCTCGGAGGCCTTGGAGCCAGCAGCCATGCTCTACCATTTACATAGAGATTGCAGATCTCTGGCGCTCTGGGTAGAATGTGAGTGTCAAAACGAATCATTGGAGTATTAGGCCCACCTGGCCATTGGGGGGCCATGCAAAAAGGGCGGAGCTCTGAACGGATCTTGCATTGCCATAATAGGCATAGGATAGCCTTCAATACCCACAGAGAAACTTCTGTCAAATCCAAACGTACGGATAATTCTGTGCCCTTACCATCGCCCATATGTGGAGAAGCGGCAAACCTTTCATTCCGTTTCAAATTGTTTTTTCTCTTGTTCTGAGCAAACATCGACAACGGTCAAAGGAATCTATGGGAAGATGATCAAAACTAGGCACTACCTGCTTCTCGTCCGGGCTGTCGGCATATCGGACTACCACTGGCCCGGAGCACCCCTTTTGTGAGCATTTCAATACACGATAAGATTTAACATTTGTGACAACCTCAAGGATCTTCCCATTCAATTCCGATATTGCCCATGAAGCCTGTCCTGAATTCTCCATACGGACTGTGGGAGCAAGGTTTACCACGGAAATATGAAATTGGAGTTAAAAATCTTACCCAGGGCCTTCCCCGTTGACCCAACTCCTGGTCTCGAAAGAATCTTGATGTCCATCACATTGCCCAAGCGACTGTCACAAGACGAGAAGTCAGTCAGGACATGCAGCATTCTAGCCTGGAGGCAGCTTGCCTAAAAATTGGATAGATTTCATCATGTGTGAAGGAAGGCGGGAGCCCCTTCAGCCAAGAGTCATTAAGAATGTCGAACACGGCTCGTCCGCATGTCAGAATACCTTGATATAGAGATTGTCAGAAGGACATTGATCACCAGGAGGCTTGTCCTGTGCAAGAACGGGCAAAGATTACTAACACTCTCGAGTATAGGACAGTTGCCAAACCTCTGCATCTGCATCTGCAAATTTCACCATGAGCTTCTTCCCTTGTAACTCTGTGTTGTTCAAAGCCTTCCAGATGGGCATGTCAACGACACCATATCCTGCATTGCAGTATCTGACCTGTATGGCGGCTTGTGCGGATTCGATCTCGACGAACTGCAGGTACGCTAGTGAGCATGCACAACTACTTGAGAGCACGCCGGGACCTTGACAAACCCAAAGTTTCTGCTCTTCTTTGTTGCCTGCGAGAGACATGATCACATAGACTGTAGAAAGAAAAGCTTGAGCTTGAGTCGCTACCTGATCCAGCATGACGCAAGCTGACTTGATCAAACCATGGTCTTCGAAGAGCTCCCTCAACCTGCATGATGAAGCATCGAGAATCCGTCAGAGAGATCGGGAGGGGAGGATCAAACGAGACGTACGAGTTGTCGTCCATGTCGTCCGGGAGATTCTTCACATACACGTTGCTATGAGGGGCTTGCATCGAGGAGGGCGACGTGTGCTGCGAGCCCGAGACTGCTGACTTGGCGTCTTGATCCATGAGCAATGTCTTCTGACTCCAGCAGGGAGGACGGGAGCTAACGAATCAGAACACCTCTGACTGACAGTTAGGCACCATGGAGCACCAGAAACGCACTGCAACGGCACCTTCCGGCTTGTTTGAGGAGATCCGCCCCCTCAAATTTCAGCCCCGATGAGCAGCCGTCGGTCAGGGCAGGAGCGTGGGGGCTCTGGGAGCTGTGAAGCAGACGTGTACGTCGAAGAGGAGAGAGGAACCGTGAGAGAAAGGGATGTCCTCTCCTCTCCTCTCCTCTCCTCCCCCCCCCCCTCCCCCTGCCCTCCCGCGGTTGCTGAGGACGAAGCGGCTGCGGCGCCTCTGCGGCGAACGAGCGAGAGTGCTAAAAATGCAATGTAAAATTACATATTAATTTTAAAGCTAAGACTATAACTTGAAAATAGCATCTCTGGTAGTGAGTTAATTCCTAAACGATGAGTTTAGACGTTGTTTGGACATAATGTAGCTGCTTGTTATATATTTTATCGAAGGCTTTGTACCAGAAATAATCTCCTGGCTCTTATTGTAAACACCATAATAGATGTTCTCGTCCTATAAATATATATAGTTATTTTTCATTTGTACCACAAAATATACTTATAAATTATGAATCATTGTATAAGGTTATGCGACCCGAGGCTGACATCACCCCGTTTCCCAAGTTCATTTGTCACCACCCCTACTCCTGTCCTATACCCCTTCTTACTACCCCCCTATTCCTCTCATAGTACCCCCATTGATATGGGGGTCATTAAATCATCTGAGGGGTAGGGTTATACCATACCCCCCCTCGATCGTATGAGCTCTACCCCCATCTCCAACACACCCACCGCCGACGCAAGATCACCCCTACCCCCTAAATACCTTTTGATCACCCTCATTTTGACTGAAACTGAAGGACCTTGACCGGAGGTACCCAGGCACATGGGAGGTATGACCCTTCCTCAGATACTACCCCTACCCCACCTCTGTAGACCCATTGATCTACCCCACCCCCAACCTCAGTGGCGTTCTGGTTTAGTTCAGATTGAACTACCACCAGTCAAGCAGACCCGCCTCAATATATTTGGTAATGGATGAACTGATTGTATCAATATTTCAAACTTCAGGGGAAATCTTTCAAATCAGTCGATCACAAGCAATGGCGGGCATGTGCCCTTCTCGATAGGAAGCAGGAGGCAGACGATGATGAGTACGAGACGAGCAGAAGAAGAGAAGCAGCAGCACTAGCAGCAGCACCACCACTAGCAGCACTAGCAGCACCACTAGCAGCACTAGCAGCACCACTAGCAGCACCACTAGCACCAACACCGCCACTAGCACCACTAGCAGCACCACGAGCAGCACCACTAGCAGCAGCAGCAGCACCACCACCACCACCACCAGGCAGGCAGGCAGCAGGCAGGCAGGCAGGAAAGACATGATGCCGGGATAAGGTATCGTTGAGTGTAAACATCACAGCAGGAAAAGGGCACAGAAGGATTGTGGTCAGGCCTGCAGTGAACGAAACAATCAGCCGAAGGGCAAGAGTGAAGCATGCTGGAAATAGAGAAACCGTCGTCGCTATAGCATTAGTTGCCTTGCATGCTCTCTGCTCCCACGGCGAGAGGTCGTTGGTGGTACGTCTGCTCCTGACCAACCCATCGCCGCTGCAGGAGTTCGGCATGCCGGCATACATTGTTGTACAGTGTTATCAATGCGGGCTGTTCCAGGTTCGTGCTCCTCCACCAGCTGTGATGTGCTGAGCGTGCAAGGGAGCAGGTGACGCAAGAGAAGAAATCGACGAACAAGTTTGTGTGCCCGGTCTGTAACGAGAAGCAGTCAGTGCGCAAGGTAGCGAAGGAGGGCAGGAAGGGCTTCTGCTGCTGATCCTTCCCCCTCAGATCTTCGCCCAGAGTGAGATAGCGAGGGATTGTCGACAAGTGACGTGAGTGTGCGACAATGGCGAAAGCAAAGGATGAGCGACACGGCAGGCAGGAGCTGAACATGACGCGAGGAGAGGTGGTGGAGAGGCTGGAGGTGACGAGCGGGAATGGTGCTCACGTTGCTCGAGGGAGGGGAAGGGATCTGACGAGGACGGCAGTCGTGCGGAGGGAGGAACAACAGCGGGAAGTCGCCGCGCCTGCTGAGAGTCGTTGGAAGGATTTCGTGCAGGAGCAAGAGGAGGAGCGGGAGGAGGCGAACGATCCCCTGGAAGACTTGTACGTCACCTGCCTACCAGAGGTGAGTAATGAGAGGAGGAGGCGAGTCAGTAGGGCAGGTAGGGAAGGGGGGGGAAGGGGAAAGAAGAGGAGCGGGTGGCGGGAAGGAGCAGCAGCAGCAGCAGCAGCAGCAGCAGCAGCAGCAGCAGCAGCAGCAGCATCAGTGGGTGGCGGGTGGCGGGAGGGAGGAGGGTGAGAAGAATTTGTGTGATGATTGGATCTCAGAAGAGCAAGAAGAGGAAGAGCTCGGGTGGTGATCGCCGTCATTGCGATACATCGGAAAATCAGCCGGCCAGACCGAAGAAGATGTCGAGCGGCAACATGAGATCTGGCGAAGGGAAGCTAAGCAGCAGCAGCAGCAACAACAACAACAACTGGAATCACAACAACAACTGGAATCACAACAACAACAGCAACAAGAATGGTGATAGCAACATCAGTATCAGCAGCAACAGAAATAATAACAACAACTGGAACCTTCAAAGGGACAACAAGTTGGAGAGGACCGATGTTGAGGACGAAGAGCAAGAGAACGGCTGGGGCAACTCTTCTTGTCGGAGGGAGAGCAGGAGACCCTCCGAACAGCAACTTGCCGCTTCCATCGTGCTCGAGATGTCCAACGATGAGCTACGGCAAGACAAGAGCAGCGAGCATGTGAGAACGAAAGGGGAGGGAAGAGGAAAGAGGAAGGAGTGAGCAAGAGAACGAGAGGATAGGTGGAGGCAGAGCAAGAGCAGGGGAGAGGGGAGGAGGGAAGGGGAAGGAGGGGAGAGGGGGGAAGGGAAGGGAAGGGAAGGGAAGGGAAAACGCTGAAGTGCTTGCAGATGAGTTGGGCGGAAGCAGCTCGACAAGTTGGTCACACCAAGATGGAGGAGGAGGACAAGAAGAGGAGGTGAGACTATGAATTTGCTGCTTGCTGGGGGTTAACATGAAGCTCAGCGAAGTCCCGATGTCGTCAAAGTGGTCAAAGTTTATGTGAAGGTTTCAAACGAACCCCTTCTATTTGTATGATAACATCTTGTTGCTCAGAAACATGCCGATATGCACAAACAAGCAGCGATACACACTGCACTATTTCTCTTCTCTCCCTCCTCCTCCACCACTCTCTCGCTCCCTCTGCTTTCGTCCTCCTCCTCCCGCTCGCTCTGCTCCCGTCAGCAGTACGCGTTGTAGATACTGCTTGCTCCCCACCAGTCGCTCGGGCAATCCGCCTTGCCGTCCTCCCACTGCCAGGCAAGTCAGCGAGGAGGAAGAGGATAGGGGAGGACAGGAGTCACCGAGCGGTGGAGGAAACGATGCATGCTCTGCAAGAGCGGCGATAGGCAGAGATAACCCAGCGCCTGCAAGAACATCAGCAAGAGACTTTGGAGGAGCACGAGGACGAGAAAGAGGGGAGGGAGAGGTAGAGAGAAGAAGAGGAGAGACGAGGATAGTCTGCTGAGGTGGCGGGGCAGGACGAGGTTGTTCAACTTCACCTTGTCGAGAATCCCCAGAGTGACGACGATGGTTCGGAGGAGACACTGAAGAAGATGATGAGACGACACGAGGAGAAGCCAAGGAGAAGGGGAGGGAGAGGAAAGACAAAGGGGGAGGAGGGGGAGGAGGAGGGGGAGGAGGAGGAGGAGGGGGGAGGAGGAGGAGGAGGAGGAGGAGGAGGAGGATCTCATCAGCACTCGCTATCTCGGATCTATACGGAGCCTTCCACATGATCGCTTTACTCTCTTGCACTGAGTCTACGATCAGTCCGATCTCTTCCAACTTCTTCTTCAGCTTGTCCTC